CAAGGCATCTTGCCCAATCTGCATTTGTATAAGCCTCTAGTTTCAACTGTCCATGATCAGTAAACAATATGCCTCTTCCCGGGTGTCCCTTTAAATAAGCAAGAATCATGTCAACTGCCTCTCAATGATGGACTCGTGGAGCATGCATGTATTGACTTACCACACTTACTGCATAGGAAATGTCTGGTCTTGTCATACACAAGTATAGYARCYGACCCACAAGTCTCTGATATCTCCCAATGTCCTTTACTGGTTCACCTTCTGATGCATTGATTCTATGGTTCTGATCAATAGGGGTATTGATTGCATTTGTTCCAACCTTCCCTATCTTTTGAAGAAGATCCAAGACATACTTCCTTTGAGAGATAAAAATTTAATGTTTTGATCTTGCAACTTCAATGCCAATGAAGTATCTCAGTTCTCTAAGATCCTTAATTTCAAATTATTTATGTAGATTCCTTTTCAAACAATCAATCTCACTTAGGTCATTCTCTGTGACAATAATATCATCCACATAAACAATTAGGACTGACACCAAAGGTCCCCTCCTCTTCACAAACAAGGTATGATCAGATTGAGTCTAAGTGTATTCAAAAGCAATCAAGGCCTTTCCGAATTTGTCAAACCATGCTCTGGGAGATTGTTTCAAGCCATAAAGTGATTTCTTAAGCCTACATACCTTTCCCTTTTCAGTATCACTGTAAAAGCCAGTAGGAAGATTCATATACACTTCCTCTTGAAGATCCTCATTTAGGAAAGCATTATTCACATCAAGTTTAAATAAGGGCCAAGAGTATGAGGCAGCAAGAGAAATAAGTATCCGAACATATGTCATCTTTGCAACCGGTGCAAAGGTCTCTAAGTAATCAACACCATAGGTCTGTGTGTACCTTTTTGCAACAAGTCTTGCCTTGTACCTTTCTATACTTTCATCCGCCTTATATTTTACCATGTAAATCCATCTGCATCCAATTGTCTCTTTGCCTTCTGGTAGATCCACAATGTCCCATATCTGATTCTTAATCAAAGTTGTCATCTCCTTCTGCATAGTTGTCTTCCACTCAGGTTTGGATAGAGCCTCACTAACACCCTTGGGTATAGACACTGAGTCAAGGGAGGAAAAAAAAACACGGTAGGAAGGAGAAAGTCCACTATAGGATAAGTACTGTAAAATACAATGAGCAGTACACTTTCTCTTCCATTTTCTGAGAGCAATAGGAAGATCAAGGTTTTATGTAACAGGGTTAGTAGAATCAATGGGAATTGAAACTGTAGTGGGACCAAGAGGAATACCTGAATCCATGTCAGCCGAATCTGGAGTCTCCAAGGAATCGACAGGAAGTGATGTGAGTTCTGCTGCAGTGGAATCAACATCCTTGTGAAGTCTCTGTCGTAAGTAATGCTGAGAAGTAGGATGCAAAGGAGGTGGTAAGGTAGGTGACACAAGATGGTCAAGCACAAGAGTAGACACAGGGATTGGAACTAGGACAGGAATAGACTACTGACTCACTTCCCCAAAACACTCCCCCTGAGGATTCCTTGAAAAGAAGTATGTGGATTCAAAAAAGGTGACATCCATTGTTAACATACCGGCTCCTAGAGACTAGATCATGTACCCTTTCTGATTTTCTGCATATCCATGGAAGACACACTTCTTTGCCTTGGGATCAAGCTTTGAGTGGTGAGGACCAAGGACATGTGCAAAGTAGACACACCCAAACATCTTGAGAGGAATATGAAACATCTCCCCCTCAGGAAAAAGGAAACTGAATGAGGTGTTGAATTCAAGTATACGAGAGGGCACCCTGTTAATCAGATATATTGCTACGAGAACTACATCACCCCAAAACTGAACTGGAACTGTAGATGTACTCATCATGCTTCTTGCAATCTCAACAATGTGTCTGTTCTTCCTTTTTGCAACACCATTCTGTTGTGGACTATAGGGACAATTGCTCTGATGGATAACACCATGTTCTAATAGATATGAAGCAAGGTACTTTTCAAAATATTCCCTAGCATTGTCTGATCTGAACACCTTTATTCTTGTTCCAAACTGTGTTAGCACCATCTGATGAAATTGTTTCACCAATGATGGTCTTTCATCGCGGGATCTCATCAGGTAAACCCAAGAGTATCGTGAAAAATCATTCACAAATAAGAGAAAATATTGATAGCCTCCCATAGAAGGAACATGGTAAGGTCCCCATACATCCGAATGAATAACATCAAAAGAAGAATAACACCTTTTATTACTAGGTTTAAATGAATGCCTACAATGCTTTCCAAGTTGACAACCTTCACACTCCAGACTTGACAAACTAACAGACTAAAAAAGTTTTGGAAACAAAAAACCCAAAGAAGAAAAAGGTAAATGGCCCAAATGATTATGCCAAAGCATAACTTGACCTACAGACCCTGACTCACTATCCCTGCTGACATGAAGACTCTAATGAGGAAGAAGAACATCCAGGAGGTAGATCCCGTTCACTTCACGACCACTCCCAATCGTCCTCTTTGAATCCAAATCCTGCAAAATACAATGACTAGGAGAAAAATTACTGAGTAGTTCAGGTTCTTAATCAAACTACTAACAAATAACAAATTAGTGCTCAATCTAGGAACATAAAGGACTGAGGGTAGAGAAATAAAATCACTAATCTTGATAGATCCCTTCCCCGCAATAGGAACATGGGATCCATCAGCTGTGGAGACCTTATCTCTGCTATAATAGAGCTAGTAAGAAGAAAAAATAGTAGAGCTATGGGTCATGTGCTCTGAGGCTCCAGAATCTATAATCCAAGGAGTCCCCTCCTTACCTGAAGTAGAAACATAATTTGCAGTGACGTGTGAACTACTTGTGTGAGCAAAGGCAGTAGAGTGGACTCCACCAGTGCCACCTATACCTTGTTGTACGCTTACTGCTGGACTGGAACTGGTTATCCCGCTGGTTCAAAAGCTGCTCATACCTCTCAAGTTCGGCCCTTACTGCAGCAGCTGTAGTAGGGGGGACCGGAATGCCACCAGTAACTGCCATGTGTGCATTTCCCTTCTTATTTTTCTATCTAGTCGGCACAAGATGTGGGTGAAGCTTCCAACAAGTATCTCTTGTGTTAGGCTTCTTACAATAGTCACATATCAAATCTCTTTTATCTTCTTTCTTGATTTCACTGCCACCCCGATCTCCACTTTGTTTAGGTTTCACAGTACTCACCATGACAGACTGATCAGAAGCAGGATTTTTCATCATCACATCTCTCCTACTCTCCTCCCCTAACACAAAGGCATATGCCTGGGAGAGGGTAACACTGTCCCTAGAAAGAAGATGTTGTCTTGCAATATCATACTCAGGATTAAGGCCAACAGAAATTCAAACACCCTATATTTCTCTAAATGTTTCTGATAGGTAGCTGCATTCTTAGTGGTTTCCCAAGCAAATGTCTCTAAATGGTCAATCTCCTGTCACAGGGTTTTAAGGGCTGAAAAATAGGTTGCAATAGGTCTATCTCCCTGCCTTGTATAAATAACCTGATTTCTCAACTAATAAGCCCTAGTAACATTCTCCCTTTGTGAATAGGTTTCTGCAACCCCATTCCATATTTCCTTAGCTGTATTTGCGCATAAAAAATTCTCCTGTACCCATCGAGAGTTGCTAGTTTCAGGTTTCACTTCCTCACTAGTGATATACCCTAATTTCCCACGAGCACCAATGGCCATATTTGCAGATTGTGACCATTCTAAGTAATTTGCACCATCTAACCTAACTGAAGTAATGGTCATAGTCCCGAAAAGGTCTCCAACACCTCCTCCTACTGGTCCCATTTCTCTTCTGATCTTATTTTCAACTCCGTGATCCTTCATGCTTCTCAAAAAATGTAAAGAAAATAACTGAAATATGTAACAAGATCAAACGAAACACTTCTGGAACCAACAACACCTTTCTGGTGTCCTAGACTGTCTTCCCACAAAAGATTCATTTTCTGTGGGACGGGAGAAGAGACAACCGCTCTCTCTAGAATAGTCCAACAAAAACAAGACTTTTCCCCTTTCTCCATTTTTTTATGATTTTGATGAAAAACCCTATACTAGTTACAGGGCACACAAATCCACCAAAAAATCCAAAAACTGGCTTACCTGAGAGCTTCGATCAGCTTCTTAAATCACCATGCAGTCGGCCGATATAGGGCTGCTTGAAGAAACAACTCAAGGAACTAAGTAAAAATCACTGATTGTAGATTTAATTGAATTTCTTGTGAAAGGAAAAGAGGAGGAAGATAAAGATTTCAGTAGTAGAGAAGAAAATAGAGGGAGAAAAGAGTAGGAAGTTAACAAGGATTCTAAATTAACCCTAACCGCCAACCCCTCATTATATTTATACTTAACTCAAAGGATGAAATATTACAAGGATGCCCTTAATAGGGCGACTACTAATGTAGTTGAACAGTCACAACTTAAAAACATAAACCAATGAGCCTAAAACCCAACAACTTCCTAACTAAATAGCTTAAAATAAGAATAAAAAACAAATAGGCCCAACTCAACGGTTAGATTTCTTATTTATTCAAATAGTTCCCAAAGAAAAGTTAAATATTTTAATTTTACTTAATAATAAAATAAAAAATAAAAAAAACAGTCTGATTCGATTTGACCCACGCCCAATGCCTGATATGTGGCCCAGGCCATGACACGGCCTACAGCCCGCTCGGCCCACCCGCACAGGCTTGGGCCGTGGGCCGTACTGAGCCGACCCAATTAGTCGTGCTACTGCTACCCCAAACTTGTGTAACACCTCTGGTTTTCTCGTAAAAAACAAAAAGAGCCAACGGCGTACCCACAGGATTGTTTTTGATTTTCGATGAGATGAGCCCATAGGTTTAACGTTTTCGGTTCGTTTATCCAATTTGACAGGATAGTTCCCACTCCTCTACGGTCGGATTGGGATCTTTTAAATGCAGATTACTCTACTAAGCAAACACATTTAGCCGCCTAAATGATTCTAATCAAACGCGATCTACGGCAATGTGTTGTGAAGCGAGGGAGCAAGCAAAGGAGCGAGAGCGAGAGCAAGAAAGAGAGAAAAGAATAGATGCTGCAATCCCCTCCATTGCTCATCAGGTGCAGAGCGGCTTCGGTGTTAACATTGAGGATGCTACCATACTACTGTTCCTCTACAAACCTCAACCCTAACCCTAACGCTACTTTTTCTCGCACCACGAGAACTAATTCCGATGACCACTCGTTTGCTCATCTTCCTCCTCTCTTCTCCAACATACACACTTCCAACCCAGCTCCACACAACCTCCATATTAGCACCGCAGTCTCCAACTGCTTATCCACTGTTCCCAGCCGTAGTGCTTCTTTATCCGTTTCGGCCACTCCTGAGTTAAGAAACCCAGATTCTGAAACGGAACATTTAACTCAACAATCTCTCGTTGTGGTCTCGTTTTACAAGTTTGCAGATTTCCCAGACCATGCAGACATGCGCAAGCCCCTGAAGGAGCTCTGCGAGGAATTGGTAAGTTTCTTATGCCCATTTTACTTTATTTATTTCTTATTTTCTATTAGTTAAGATCTATCTGTATGATTTCGAATCTCGATTTAAAAGCTAACGCTAACCTACCCGTTTCATTTCAATGCCTTCAATTCCTGTTGTAAACAGTGATGTAACTGAGACTTTTAGTTGAATATATTTTCCTTCGGGCGTTTTTCAAAAAAAAAAAAAAACTGAAAGAAAAGCAATTATTTATTTCTATATTCTGCAAATCCTATGGTTTAATCTCACTAAACCCATGTATTTTGCCACCTGATATTGCGCATTTTAAGATGGGCTTCCATGAATTCATGTTCAAAAGAGATTGAGCCATTGAATGGGTTTGCCTTGGTCTGTCTCAGGCCTAAGGCTGTATCCTTTTCTCCCGATTTCTTCTTAATGAAATCTTCATGTTTTGATTGAAAACTGGAAAATGTGGGAAGGCTTGGCTTGTCCTTGAGTTAGAGAAGCGAGTTTAGGCATGGAGATCAATTAGCAGCGTATCGATAAAACTTTTGAAAGGTAGGCTTCATCTTTTTTCATCAGTCACGCATTGTTTGGGACGCCGTTCTGCTTGTATAAACTTCTACTCATTCTTATTCTTTTTAGTCTATGAAAAACACTAAGTGATACTTTGATATTTGATTGCAGGCCGTGGTTGCCACTTGCCATAGAGTTGATCACGGTGTAAAATGGCACTTTGCACTATTATAAAGTTGTATTGTTACTATATATTTCATGGTGAATTGGTTATGGACTGGACTCAATTTTACTCAACCCTTTTTTTCAATCAGTTTTAACTTGATGTTAAAAGTTTAAACATATTAATTTATCGGGGTTTCTTAGTCAATATTGTTGGTATTATAATTGAACATGCTGCCAACTGCATTACCGTCCTGGAAGAAACGTGAAGTAAATTAAGTGATCTGCCTTAGATGCTTTATGCTTATGCTTTGAATCACAAGGATGTCACATTGCAAGCATGAAGCTTTGAAAGGTTTAGTTTCTTTTTCTGTTAATATGAAACCAAACAAGTTCAAATAGGCTGAGCTAATATTATTTTTTCTTCTTTTTTTTTTCTTTAATTGATAGTGTTCTTTAAAAGATTCAAATCAATTTTTTGATTAACTTTTCTCAAAAAAAATTATTTTTCTTCTTTTTATTCAGATGCCTGACTTCATACTTTTCCTTTTAGGAAGTCTTATCTTACACGAATTACTATCCCCATTCTCCACTTCACATCTCAAACTCTCACTTAGTGTCAACATGTAACATTAAATGGTATTCTGCTACTTTAGATGTCCTAAACTACTATGTAACTTACAACAACTATATTGGGGTTTATGCATCAAAGTGGAAGTGGTACGTGTGATCTGGGAAGACTTATTAGTCCAGGGAGTCATTATTTTCTATTTTACTGTTCTGGATTTTTTTTATTCAATGCATCTGTCCTCACTATGCTCATCCTGTTCAGCGTGTTTCAGGTGGCATTATCCTTGCCCCTGAAGGAATCAATGGGAGCATATGTGGGACACGTGAAGCAGTGGAAAAGGTTCTTGGATTCATTCAATCTGATAGTCGCCTCAGTGGCCTAAGACAGGTGGAGTCACCTGTGAGTCCTGAAGATGAAGCTCTCCATCATGGACACACTAGCAGTTCCCCTCTTGGAGCAGGGGAAGATTCACCCTTCCGATGGGACCATGTGAGGGTCAAGGTGAAGAACGAGGTAGATGGTACAAAAGACGAAAATCTTCTATTTTAATTTGAAGACCCTTTCTTTCCCAATAACATTATAAATATACGATTCCTTCATTTTTTCTTCTTCTTCTTCATTCTAACAGATCGTTTCCCTGGGAATGCCAAATGTATCACCTATTGAAAGAGTTGGAAAGTACGTGAGCCCAAAGGATTGGAATGGATTAATTACTGATCCTGAAACTGTGAGTAAACTGAAACCATAACACATGATTCTAATATGTTGCTACTTGATATTAAGTCAAAGACATTAGAAATATTTATGGGAAGCCAACTACATATATCCATGACTGTAAAGATACAAGTTCACAACTTCACATTGCTCTACTTGCACCACTGGATGAATAAGTGATTAATGGGTTCCTTAGTTTCTTATGTATGATCCATGCATGTGGGAGTAGCCCTTTCTCTTGTGAAGGAGGGAAGCTATCCTGCGCATGTTTTACTTTCCAAGATCACTACAGAAGATCAAATTTAATACCACATTCCACATTCCACATTGTACTAATGATCACAATGCTGTTTCACATGTCAAAATTTTAGAAGGAGGTTGCATTCGATTTACCCCATACTTCTTTTACTGGGAAAGTTTGCACAATTGAATTGGTAGGTTGCACCAAAGACTTAAAGAAAGATGCACAAGAAAAGACACATGAAGGAGATAAAGTCCAAATTCTGCTATCCCTTTTTTATCAATAATGCATTCCATTAATCAATCAGAAATAATAATTACAAAGGAGATAAATTTTCTTATCTCCCCCAATTGAGGCTTGAGCCCCTATGGAATTGGAGTTACAATTGAGCCCAAAACATAGATTCCCTCGCCACCCCTTGCCCATCAGCAAACAAGTTAGTAGATTTCTTCACCCAATTGATCTTGGCTTCCATGTCTTTAACTAGCAACCTAAACTTTCTCCTTTCATTGCTATAATTCCATTAACCTAGTATTGTCTTTATTCGGCCACCCTACAACCACCTCCGAATCCCCTTCAACTACAAGTCTTCTTATATTCATTTCCTTTGCTCTTGGGGCACCTTCCAAAACTGCATAGATCTTGGCTCTCTAAGAGAATCACCCACCCCAATTGGACCTGAGAACATGGTTGAAACATTCCCATTTTCAACCCTAAGCACACCCCCAGCCCCTGAATGCTCAGGGTTCCCTCTACTACTACCATCAAAGTTCAGTTTCATAAAGCTAGAGGGGGGAGGGGTCCAAGACAAACTAAGTCCTGTTTTGACTTGGGTGCATCTAGCAATCTCTCCCAATTTCCTTAACAGATCATCCACTGTATAATCTATGAACAACAGCTCAAATGATTTCAGCCACTGTAATGCCCTTATATGAATCATATCTCTCAGATTTTCAGCACTTCTCTCTATTTCAGAGAAGATCCTAGAGTTTCTTTCTTCCCATAGAGATTAACATATCGCGGCCCTTAGGCATCTCCACATAGTCCTACCCTTTTTGAAATGCCACTTGAAAAAAGAAGAAAAAAGGCTCTGCAAGTTCAATGGAGGGGTCCAACTACACCTAAAGAGGGAAGAAGCTCATTTCCAAATAGTCTTTGCAAACTTGCATGACATCAATAGGTGAAAACTAGTCTCCTCATCAACTTTACAAAGAATACACTTGTGAGGGGATAAGAATGTCTCGAGTCTCTTCTTTTGAATCAGATCACTAGTGTTGATTCTTTCTAGAAACGTATCCCATAAAAAACTACCAACCTTAGGAGGAATTGGTCTGCACTATATCTCTTTGGCAGGGAAAGAGGAAGGCCTAGGGGGCTAGTTGGTTGAGCTAAGACTTTGAAGAAAGAGGCACAAGAAAAAGAGCCTGCAGGGGTGGGGGTCTAAATTCTAGTGCCTTCCTTTGTGGAGTCCAAACTATTTTCAAGAAGACCTAGGAGACTCGGGATGTTGTTTAGGTCTGTATCTCTAACAACCCTCCTCAAGCCCAAATTCCACCCAAACCCGGAGTTTGAAGATGGGATAATGAAGGAAGAAATTGGCTCATTTTTCAAGTTGGAGAGGGCATATAAGGATGGAAATTGATCCTTCAGAGGGGCATTCCCCACCCAAGTTTGTTCCCAAAATTTTATAAGGTTGCTTGACATGGTTGTCAAGGCAGCCCCTAGGTGATAGGGTGCCCTTGGAGGCTCGCCTCGCCTAGTCGCCAAGTAGTTTTGTGCACTATGTTATAAAATACTTTTATATTTTTAATTTTTTGACATTATAATTGTAAGATAGGCATTATTAAACTAGAATACTCATTTTATGTGTTCATGTACTAATTTCTTTTTATTATTTTCTTATTTGTTAGGGTTTAATCAACACAAACATTGCTAGCTGTTGTATTGAACCCATGGTTCAAAGTATCAATACACCTCTGTGTATCGACAGAGGTGTATCAGTACTTATAATGATACTCCCCCTATTTTTTCATTTCATTGGTTTTATATATATATGCTATTTTAAAAAGCGGGTTCCCGAAAACACTTGTAAACATGTGTATTAGGGCACCAAAGATATAATACAATACACCCGATATGGGGTGTATCTATCGAAGTTTTGATCCTTGATTGAATCCTCAAAGATTTCAGAACCTGAACCAATAGGCAAGGGAAGAACTTAAAATTTTGTCTAATCAACAGATTTTCTTCTTATCTTCTTCTTCTTCTTCCACCTTTTCTTTTCTTCTTTTCCTATAACAAAAGTAGGGTTTCAGCCCCTGTATTTTTTGAATTTTCTTTCCTTTGTTCCTTTTCTTCTCATAAAATGTTGATTTTCTAAACTTAAAACATGAAATTTATACTTCTCTTATGAAAATTATGGATAATTATTAATGGTTATGGAACCTAAGGAACTACCCTAGGATATATGGTTTTACTTAAAAAAAATCCATCGCGTAGGCGACTAGGCGACAAGGCGCCCCCTGTCGCCTAGCCTTGCCTTGGTGCCTTAAAAACTATGTTGCATGAGTTTAAGTCATACCTGATAAGAGGGGAGAAAACTGGTAACAAGTCATGGATGGCTTTCCAAGGTGATGCACTTGTAGTCTTTGCCCAAATTCCAAGATCTCATTCATTGTCCTCAAGCCCATGAATGCTAGCCACTATTTTAGCCCGTAGTTTCTCCTTCTCTAAAGAGAACCTCCATAACCATTTCCCCTGAAGAGCCACATTTTGCTATCCCTTTTTGAAAAGAATAAAATCACCCCCTTCAAAACTTGAATTAACCCCAAAACATTTCCAAGTTTTGAATCCCTAATGCCTCTTCTAAGACCCAAATCCCAATCAAAACGGAAGTTGGATTCAGAAGGGGCCAAGAAATTAGACACAATTTTCCCTTTATATCGGGAGAGAGAGATAGAATAAAGAAGGGAAATTGGTCTTTTAAAGGCACATCACCCACCCAAAGATGCTCCCATAATTTCACCTGGTTTCTAGAACAAAGATCATACTTGATGTGTTGTAGAAAAAAAGGAAGAATGGCATGTATGGATCACCAAGGAGAGGTACTAGTAGCCCTTGCCAAGATCCCAGAGTCCCAGCCATCATCTGTCAACCCATGAATGCTCAGTATTACCTTATCGCACAACTTGTCTCTTTCTCTTGCTAGCCTCCACAACCACTTCCCCAGGAAAGCTTCATTTCTCTTCCGAATGTTACCTAGTCCCAATCCTCCATCAGCCCTATTCCTAGACACTATTTCCCACTTCACCCTATGGTCTTTCTTGTCCTCCCTTGGTTCCCACAAGAAATCTCTCATTAATTTTTCTAAGACTTTGCTTACTTTCTCTATAATCTTGAAAACAGAAAGATAGTAAACTGGCAAACTAGACAAGGTGAACTTTATCAGAGTGATTATACTACCCAGAGATAGGTAGTTCTTCTTCCAAGAGGCCAACATTTTTGTGAATCTATCAATTACTGGGTTCCAAAAGCTATTCTTCCTCGGATTATCCCCTAAGGGCATCCCCAAGTACTGCAAAGGCCATTGTGATACCACTCACCCTAACATTTCAGCCCTCTCCATCGTTGCACTCTCCTCCTTATTAATCCATGCCACACAGCTCTAGTCAAAATTCACCTTCATGTTTGACATTTTCTCAAAGGTTTGAACTACCAACTTCAAATTTCTCACCCATCTGATATCCTCCTCTTCATAGAAAAGAATTGTGTCATTAGCAAATTGTAGATGAGTGATAGGAATTTTATCTTTCCCAACCCTCCACCCCTTCACTAGGTTCCTCGAATCTGCCCTCTATATTAACTTCTCCAACACATCTGCAATCAAGGTTAAAAGGAAGGGAAAAAGGGGGGGGTCCTCTTGTTTGATTCCTCTAGTAGCCTGAAAATGATCTATAACAGCTCCATTTACCAAAATTGAGTAATGACATGTCTCCATACACCCCAAGATCCATTTGCACTATTTCTTCCCAAAGCCAAAGTAATCCATCACTTGCATTAACAAGGCCAATCTACCATATCATAAGCTTTCTCGAAGTCCAGTTTACACACAATTCCGTTCTTCTTTGTTTTCTTTAGATCCTCCACACATTCTTTAGCAATTAAAATTTAATTCATGATCTGCCTATTACCCACAAAAGCCCCTTGGTTTTGTCACATTATGCTCAGAAGCACCTCTCTAATTCTTTGAGACAAGACCTTAGCAATGATTTTATACAAACTATTCACCAAACTAATGGGTCTAAAATCTCTTGGATAACTTGCTCCATAATAGGTCTAAAATCTCTTGGATAACTTGCTCCATCTTTCTTTGGGACTAACACAATGAAAGTGGAATTCAACCCTGGATTTATTACCCCCCTTTCAAAAAATTCATGAAACACTTTTAGGATATCCGGTTTCAGTATCTCCCAACAATCCTAGTAAAAGGCCATAGTGAACCCATCCGGCCCTAGAGCTTTTATTTTTTTGATAAATAAGATGAGTTTTTATTAGACTTTAAGATAAGACTTTACAAGCATCCCTTAGAGAGGCACGAGATGTTATCTCTCTATAAAAAAGCAAAGTGCAAAGAAAATTACAATGGAGCCCAAAACACTACTTCCTTATTCACCCCTTGCTTAGCCAAAGCATTAGCCATCCTGTTTGTAGATCTCACCCACTGTATCCTGATATTCATATTCCTAGCAAGCCACTTAAATTTCTTCATTTCA